TAAACACACATGAAATGCTTCTATAAGAATTGTTCTAGATGTATATAATAGGGTTGCTAGTAATACTAAATAATAGAGAAAGATTTATGAAATGATTAATTTGCATTGAATGGTTTCAGGGAAGTATATAGTTAATGTATATTTATTAATAACTCATATATACACTGATGCTTATATTTTGATAATCTGCATTTATGGAGCTATTGTAAACATCATTTATTGACCAGGAAGCAGAATCTGAAACTACAGCCCCTGTTTTGTGTCCCAGTGGTATAAGAGAGCATAAAACTATATTATTGTCTAATTACACTGCTAGAGGGGTGCCAGCGCGGACTGTGGAATCTGCATCCAGCTCTTCATCGCTATAGAAAGCGTTACGATAACTCTGTGTGCTGCGTGTACGTGAGGAATGTAGTGAACCGTGTACCGGCACTCTCCAACATTTTCACGGGAAACTGTAGGGTTCTAAGTCTTTTATATTGTCCTTTTACTCTCCCCTTTTTAAAAAAATATAAGGCTAGTAACTTACAGATGTTTATACTCCATCTACCTGGTTTATAAAACAAAATTCTACAGTTCTGTAGAATTGAATTGTTTATACAAGTTACTTAATTTTTTTTTCAAAAACCAAAGCCTGGATGAAAAAATCAAACATAAAAGCAATAGAGGAAAGTCAAGGGAATGTTATACTGTGGCTCAGAATAGTGCTTGCAGATGTTTGCTGAACGGAATCTCTTAAATTTGCATGACTGTGATTTCATTTGATAAGGCCAATTAAAGTGGGTTATACTGTAAGCCTCTTTTCATGTAGAATATAAAATTAAATAACAGATTTCTGTAAAACTGTACTCAAAGAAGAAACAAGACAGACACGGAGGGAAGGAATCTAAATCCACTGTTTGTTTTTGTTACACACTAAACAAATTACATTTTATGTTGGCTTTGGAAAAGCAGCGGCTGTTTGACAAAAATATTTTTCTTCCTTCCCCTCTACTTTCCCACTATATTTTAATGACAAAGCCTGGCTTCTTCATGCGAGAAAAAACATACCAATAAATAAGTAATCTCTGCAGAGAATTTCAAAATGTTGCTGAACTTCATGTTACATAACACTTGAGATATCTTACTCTGTAAACATTTAGTCAACATTTCTGATAAAATACTATAAAGTGTAAAATATTTGCATGAGAAATGAAGTGTTAATGTTAAATATTTTTAATATTTAACTACTAGTTAAATATTGACTATTAATATTAGTTAAATATTTTATATATTAGTTAAAACATTTACTAGAGTCTCAGTTCTCTCTCTAGCTGAATATAAATTGTCAGCACTTTTCATTTTTTTCGTTATTTAAAGTCCAGTGATGCTTACTAATAATGTTTTCCACTTACATTGCATCTTATGTTTAAGGACCTGAAAGTGCTTTTTTAATATATACATATATATATATATGTGTGTGTGTGCATATATGTATATGTGTGTGTATATACATATTATTTTAGCCTTAAGTCCACCTTCGCCTCTACTCTTCCAGCAACAAGTATGTGTACTATACACTTATATAAAGTTTTATATGCTTACGTAAGACTGACCAAGTCAGAACTGCAGAGCCCAAAGACAAACAGGGTGGACAGGCTCCGGGCAGGTCCCAGGCTGGGTCTGGCAGCACAGCAGCTTTGCATCCTGCTTTGTAGGCAGATAATAAAGGATTTCTGCAGCATCTCTGCTGCACAGCCCCTCGTTCCCCAGGTTTGGAGAAGTACGGATGGTGCATAAAGCCTTTGTAGCCTTCTTGTAGTTGTTCCTTGGCCAACTCAAAATCCTGAGTTTAAATCCCCCTTGCAAATGTTTACACATGGATTGCACTTGTGGCTTGTGAGCATCTCTAGAACAAATAATATTTATTACTTTCTAAGGTGCACTATGCTATAATTTTGGCTTGGACGTGAGTGCTTCACAGAACATTTAGCGTGCGGTGGTTGTGGGACATTAAGTATTTATAAGCCTCACCACAAAAGGATATTCTTCTGTTAAACAGTGTATTCCTTTAACCGTAAAATGTTTTTCCTTCCTAAATGAGGTATTCTTTAAACCCATTTTTCCCTTTCCCATATAAAATATAATCTAATTTTGACATTCAAACATGAGAATGGAATTATCCTGGGAGCAGAAGGCATCCATTTTCTGTGCGGGCTCGGCTGTTTAACTGCCCTCCCGTTTGTCCCCGGGAAAGATCATTCTAAAACCCTGCTGTAGCTTCAACGTGCGGTATTTGAGTAGCCGCCGTCGCCAGCTAGCTTGTGTTAACGGCGGTCTGGGTGCAAGAACAGTTCTAACTTCATTTGCACAGACAAGCGTAGGCAGACGCGGACTTCCTGAGGCACGGCCGTAGCTGCGCCAGGCTGTTCTGGGACACGCAGCGCTGTCGCGCGCTACTAGGGAGTCCGTGTCTTACAAGGAGGGACGTTACCTCCAAACCGGTGACCTTGCGAGCGCTTCCCAGCTTGGTGCCTGCCCTGCGTCACGGAGCGGCGTGGGCGCGCGGGGCAGGCAGGCCTGGAGGCGTGCCACCGTTCAGGCCTGGGCACTGACTTGCAAAAGCCTTGTTACAGCTAGCATTCCTCTGGAGAAAGAGTTACTACCGTAAGGGTTACTACTAAGCTACGAGCTACTACTAAGAGTTACTACAGTAGTTACCATAATCTCAGAGCAGGTGTCTGCTGAATGGGTCACCGAATCCAGCAATGACTTGTCCCCTGGCTTACTTTCAGAAAGCCTGATTGCAAACAGTTACTTGAGCAGTCCCAGGAGAGTATGTTCCTCACTTAAGAGTAGGGGGTTCACACAATCTGGCTCGAATTAAAGCCATCTGGCAGCATTTTCTCATATACATTGTGAGTCAGAAACCTTCACCCTCTTCAGGTTCAATCAGCAGGATGCCTAACAGAGGAAGGTACTATTCCACATGAGTAATGCTGGTAGGAACTGCCCCCTACGTGGTTTTGAGTTGGTGAGTTTTTCCCCTGTAGTAAGTTTCTGACAGTCCCATCAGCCATGTGCAGCTTATTAATCTGCAGTGAAATATATCTTAAGAAGCTGCCACAGCAACCAGAAAAAATACATATAGGCTGAAGAGGCTGGTCTTTAGCTAAAGGTCAGCTAGAATTGTACAGGAAACCCTAAGGAAAAGCAATCTGCTGAAGAAATAACGAATAATCTGAGTTGCTGGGAAGCCACAAGGTTTAATTATAAAAAAGAAAAAAATTCTGTGTAAGTGGTATGGACACTTTCATTACACAATTTTCAAAACTTAAAATTGAAAATATGATGATAGAGTAGAAAACACACAGTAAACTTCTCTGCTATATTTAACTAACCCATGTTTGTTTGAGACTAATAGCCTAGGATTTTTGTTTGTTTTTAAGACATTTTATATGGATTTTAAACAAACTTTCATTAAAGCGAGTCTGGTAGCGTCTTAACATGTTGAAGGGCTCTTGCTGCAGAGCAAACTATTAGTGCATTGGAAAATTTAAGTGAATTCTATCTAGTTCAGGGATGATGTTACAGAAATCCTCTGCAGAGGATGCCGAGAACCCATGAAGTGTCAGCAAGAATCACTGACCTTCTCTGAAAAACAGGTGTGGACTGGCAACGCAAGGCAGTGAACAGTGGATGAATTCCGTGTGGAAGATTCACTCTGCCCACTTTGAACTTCAGAAATACGTTTAGTGAGGCTATGACCTGGAAGAAGGATTAGCTCTTGCAAAAGCAGGCTGGATGAAGGTAAAATGTGTTAAAAACTAAGTGACAAAATGGCACTTAGAACAGACATAAGTATAGGATCCTTTGTCCTCCTTAAAGTTTTCTTTGGTCTCATATTGCGTTTTCATATTTATTTTAATTTATTCTGATTTGTATTTGTTTCAATCCATAAAATGTATAGCCTCATTTCATCCCACAAGAAATTTTTTGTATGTGCAGCTGATACAATACAAAATAAATCACAGTTTCTGGATTGTTTGTTCAGAAGGGGGAAAAAAAGACCCCCAAGACTCTGCGCCAAAATCAATTCTGCAAGGCAGAGCTCCACAGAAAGCGGCAGCGAGGAAGTATGTAGTGATTTTCAAAGAATGTTTTTTGACAGCATGATTCTGGTCAGAGACTAAATCCTTAGCTGATATGAATCTCCTTCAGTCTGAATGGTGCTGTCTCCTTTTAAACAAACAAAGCACCTGCACTGGATCTTCTCCCAGATCTCTTTATGGAAGAAGCATTACTTTAGACTGGACCCAGACAGTTGCTCTTATGTCAGAGTGGCAGTCGGAGCTGGTGTCACTGCACCTGAGTTTTAGGAGTGTGGTGACCCTGGTTCTTCTCTAGTCACCGGAGAAAGGGGTACCGTACGGCAACTCAGGTCTCCAGTGGGATGAACAGTCCCCTAACTGGCCTTTTCACTGACGGGAGAGGGGGCTAAGGGTGTCTGTTCCCCTAACTGGGAACTAAATTTAAGTGAGAGAATACAGGCCCTTACAGTTTCCTGATTTAGGACAATATATTGAAATTTTCAGTCAGATGAAGTACCTAACTTCCATTAGCTGTAATAGGTTTAAACATCTAAATGCTTTTAAGAATCTGGCTTTAGGTCCCCGTACCTTGCTTTTATGCTCTCCTTTGAGTGCACAAAGAGAAAGCTCGTGTAACCCACTCCCGTGCAACAAGGGAAGGTTTACCTCTGAGGGCTTCAAGTTTTTTCCTTTCAGAGCCCTCCAGCCCTAGTGCAGATATAAACTAATCACTTGTGCACACTTTAAGTTTTTGTTTCTTCTAACCAAGGCAGAATGTGGCTTAGAAAATCATTCTTTTTTAACTATAAAAATGGCTGCTTTCCCATGAAGCACACAGATTTTGATCAGCTCCTGCACTCTTCTAAAATCACTGGCTTCATAGCTCTTTGCCATAGTCCATTAATTCAGATCTTACTTAGGCGGAGTGATACATAGGCTGGTGATTTAGCAAGAAGATTCAAATATAGGTCTAATTTTTTTGAAATATCAGTTATGCTTTGCTATTTGTTATTATATTTAGATGGTTAATTGGACTGACTACCCATGCAACAGGTAGAAGAGGGTTTCTCTATTACAAGAGGCATTTGATATTGATAGCTGAAAATACATGGATTGTTCAATTGTTTTAGAATAGGACTGAAAGAGTAAAGAGGTGTTTGATGTCCTGAAGGTAGTGTTACTTGAACAGAACATTGTTGGAGAGGAAAGGCAAACTATAAAAAATATCTTCTAAAAATAAGCATAATTTTCTGAAATAAAGTGCTGCCGCAAACCATCCAATAGCTAACGCAACATACCAGGCTCACCGATGCAAACGCGGTAAGTGTCCGCAACCGAGTCTGAGAACAACGTACAGCCACTTTCTCTCGTTTGAAAACTGCTTGAAAGGATTGCTTTTGCATACAGAGTGAAGGTAGCAAATCCTCCCCTCCATCGAGCGACACGCTCCTCAGAGCGAATGCTGTCAAGGACGCAGCTCCGATTTTTGGGCTGACAGCCAGTTGCTGGAGCACCCATTCCGGTTGCCAGTTCATAACATGACAAGCAGAACACAACCCCAGAGAGTTTTAAGGTAATCTGGCCAGTAGAGCATTGCTCTACCAAAGGGTGGTCTCCGAATCAATCACAGCCTTTGGCAAGTCTTGTGCCTTACAATTGAAAACAGACATGTTTTCAGTTCATTCTTTGGGTTACTACTGTTCAATGGTGATTTACAAGAGAGTGTGAGCTATGGCAATCTCTCACGCAACTTTAGATATTCCCTAAATGAATGCACATTTAGCAATCTCCTTGCTCTAAAACAATGGCTTATAAGAAAAGAATATTTAAAGAGAAACCATCTTAAAAAAATGCCAAGCAGCCTTTCTCCAACATTCATAAATACCGAGGCATCACTCTGCAATACACCGTGCAAACAATTCCAGTAGCAACGAAATGCAGTGGGCTAAAACACACCTCTGAATGGGAAAACAGAATATGCCCCTCCCGTGTTAGTTAGCGATACTCTCAATAAGATGTTGTTTCTGTGGGGCACCTAATTTTTTCATTTCAATCCTCGTTTGAAATGCATTCAGAAGGCCTGTTCAGAAGACAGCAACACCATGTTTCTCGGTAGGGCCTGTACAGAATTACATAATAAATATCACCAGAAGACATATCACCAGTAGTGGAAAATTGATATGTTCAATGTTTCTCTGATTTTAGCAGGTTTATTAATGTCTCCCTCAGTGCTACATTTTCAGCATATACAGTCCTGATTTACACTTACTGTTTTGGAGAAATGTAAAGGGATTAGGCAGATACTGATAAAGTTGTAGGCAGAAAGGGGTGCAGTCTGGAGTATACACGAGAGACTTAAACTGCACACATTTCTATTGCCAGTCTTTCAGGGACGATTTCTACATATAATTGCAAATGCAGATCGCTGAAGCCATCAGAAGTGGTTCCAGACCTTGGCTGCCTACACAGAACAGCCAAGCAGGAATCTGTGTGTTGGGGTCAGGTCACAAATTCTGTTTTAAATACATGGCTTGTTTGCCTTCTCTTGACTTTTTACCTCTGTTTGACTATTCCATCAGCCATTTTAAAAAGTGAGAGAGGTCGGAAACTGAAAGGAGAAAAGACGCCGTGTCCCGAAGGAGAATTCTTGCATAGAAGGAAAAGGAAGGACGTTCAGAGGTGCTCTAACAAGCACAAGTGTGCTACAGTGGAGAGGACATTAGGAAACATACTACAGTAGATGCTGCAAGTATAGGATAAGGTTCACTTCTCTAACTTTTACTCACACAAGCCAATTTGATCAGAAATCTGAGAAATTATATGATGTTACGCATGCACCTGGAGAGTAATACTTCCTCAATAACAGCTACAAGCCCACAGTATTAAAATCAACAGAACAATATTTTGGGAGAGAAAAAGCAGTGAACTATAACATGAACCTTGGCAAGACCATTCTTGGCTGTTAGGGGCGAACCTAATCCTCCAGTAACTAGGAGCACCTGGAGAAGCTTTCAGCCACAGCCATCCCCTTCCTCGTTATGCCCCCGCTCACAGGTTCCCACCCAGGCTCTGGGGAGTTCCCTGCCCTGATAGACACACAGGCCTAGGCACCCTCCCACCCATCCCAGAGAGGCTCCTCACGTTGCTATGGCATAGTAGCAAAAAAATCTTAGCTCATAGTCTTACGCTAGGCCTTGATCTTAGCACATCAATACTAAGCAGTACCTGGCTAGGCTTCTTGTCTCACCCCGTCCTCAGAGGCAGCAGCGACCCTCCTGCAGGTAACGCACACTGAAGACCAACCTGTGGCTGTCTGAGCTCTTCAGTATGCCTGTTCTCCAGTGTTACTTAAGTTGGGGCGAGCCCATGTTATGGGCATATTTGAGAGTGGTTCCTTGCCTCTGCACCAGGAAACATGGGTAACAGCATTTTTATTAATGTCGGTTTCAGAAAACCCCCAGCTTTTTAATTAAGAAGATGGGAACTGTCACATAATTGACATGCAAATCAGGCCTGGTGCATTCACTCACAACCGCCTGTGCGCCCGCAGCTGCTGGCCAGGGCTTGCAGGGTGCAGTGCCCCTTTCTCGTGCTAACATGACTCAGTTTTGCTAATATTTCAAAACCGGAAGGTATTAGATGAATGTCCTAATACCTGTCACTGCTGTCTGTCAGCATGTCTGCTGCTCATTCTTCGACTTGTAACTTGCCTTTGCAAACAGAAAGGAGTAAATGGGTTGGTCCAGTGGCAGGCAGCAAGGAACCTGCACAGCTGGACGGGGATAATAAATGCGCAGCCCCGAGTGTGTGTGTGTGGGCGGGTTTCATATTCCTTGTATAATACCTGTGTGTTACGCTCATATGCACACTTCAGAATGGCTAAACTGAGTTAAGACATCTGTGAGGTGGTATAACATGACTTGCTTCTACAGTGTGGTTATGGAGGTAAAGTTTTGTATATGTCTAGATAAAATGTTTTAAAATGTAACCATTGCAAACATTTCTGAAGGATGTTTCTGTTTTTATTAAAGACTAATAGACTTAGATAATCCATTGTAATCACCATTGTAAATGTGATCACAGCTGCATTTACATGAAGAAAAGTTTTAATCTCCTGCATTTTTTAAAATGTTCTTTCTGATATGTGCATAAAATCAAAATGAAAAAATGCTAACATTTTAGTCTGCTGAACTCTAAATATATAAATACATAACTATTATATTAGGACCTTAATGAAGAATAAGTGAGTTTTTGCAGAAGACTTTCAGCCTACAGAGTTCTAATATAAACTATGAATTACTGAAACAAATGTAATTCTGCTATGTTTTTATATGTTCCCTTTTTAGTAGATATTAATGGATAACTATAGTATTTAATATTTTCATTTTGTTTAGTTTCTACTTTTAAGTTATACCAGCGTGCTAAGCATGTGTATAGTGAAGCAGCCAGAGTGCTGGAATTTAAGAAGATATGCGATGAGGCACCTGCCAATGCAATCCAGCTGCTGGGAGAATTAATGAACCAGAGCTATATCAGCTGCAGGGAAATGTATGAATGCAGCTGTCCTGAACTGGATCGGCTGGTAGACATCTGCCTGTAAGTCTTGACCTCAATGAAGAGTAATTGCCTGTTGAGAATATTGTTTGAATTGATGAGAAAATATGACATCATTGGCTATTGCAATTTTAAAATGAAAGTATTGTCTCTTATTACAGAATTAATCTCCTGCAGGGACACTGCATGGTCAATTGTTTCCCTACTGACGTCTATGTAATACTTTCAGATGAAAGCTCTGGTTTATGGCTTTATTACAGACTTGGCTTTTGGACTGACTCATCATCACAAGTGTTACGCTAGATTATGTTGGCTCTCCTCTTTTCTGTGTTGAAGAAGAAGTCATAATTGGTTTTCTTAGAACATCATCTTAGTTGTTCTGTTGAAACTGTAACTTTCTGCATCTTTCTTAACCGTTTCAGTACTGCCACCATGGAAATGCCAGGGTATGAGCAAGCTGTTCTAACTTCTTTGGTTGCCTTGAAATCAAAATGTAGTACTTGCATTCTATTTAATATTTAATCCATTCCACAGCTCTTGCTCTTCCTTCGAGAGGACCTTGCTTAGTTTGGGAAACTGCCCTAAGCCGGAGAGTTAAAAGGCCAAAGGTTATTGTCCTGCCGGGAGGGAAGTGTAGCGTAGGGTGCCGTAACTGCTTGCAAGCTTGAGGTCAAGGAATGTCGTTTCGCTGTCCTTCAGAAGCAGAGACACTGAAAGTATCACATCCTTTCTTCAAATCTTTCACAGTTTTGAAAAAAACAGAAATTCTCTTTGGATTTGAAGCTAAAAAAACGAAGGTCTTACCTGCTGAAAATTAAGGTTACAACAATGTTTTATTTAACCAGCAACTGATTTTTTTTTTTTTTTTGGAATTAAGAAACTAGCCTGACTTAAAATACGAATTTTACAAATAGGCAGCTTGTCACATGCATTCTTACTTTTATAGTCATGCTTGTTTAGTAAGATGTAATTGTGACTTACCAGGTTTTTGAATTAATATAGAGTAACATATAGCTGATTACATAATACACTAGGTTAGTGTGGTTTCTTTTGCAGACAGGATGGAATGGCCTCTGAGCCAGAGAACCACAAACTTAAAAACTGATTTGAAGACTTTTGGACAGATTATTTTACATATGGGATACACATGCTGTTTTGAGATAAAACTCAGAGAAGGCCCGATAGCCATTGGACAATCTGAGAGCAATTTAGCAATACAATTTTTGTTCCTTCTCTTGGGAACAAATCCTCTATGCAACTCACAGGCCAGGTTCAGTTTATGGTATCACATAATGATCACATAATGGAATAAGCTGTTACAGTAATTCAGACAATGAGGTGATACCAGCGTGATTCTCCTAGCTACGCAAAGGGGAACTACGTATGTGTGTGAGAAGGGAGAACAGTCTCCAGGCTGGCTGAAGGCAAAACCTATGCTCCAGTGAGTTCTGAAAGCTCTTGGACTTCGAAGTCTTGATCCAGTGCAAGATAGCAGCAGTCTATTCTGTGACGCCATTGACAGAGGAAAAGCCTTAAGAATTAACATTTGCATTATTTTTAGTCACAGTTATTACCCAGTAGGCACCTCATATTCAACAGACTCTACCTGGTGACTGAACTTTGCAAAAACTACTAGCGATTTCAAGTGTCTTCACTTAGGGTATCCAGCTTGAATCATACTAATAGGGCCTGTTCTCCAAAAACGCTGGGAGAAAACTACACTGTTTCAAGTAAGAGAAAAATAGAGAGGTATAAAATGACAGCTCTACACTATAGTGCAGAGCTACCTGTGCTACCTTTAAGCTAGTGTGGAGCCTGGCAGCGGTCTGCTGCAGCGTGAAGCTCAGCATGGGCTGATGGTCTCTGTTTCTCATTTATGCTGAGCTCTGTGCTGCCACAAGCAGACAGCTGCTGCTCGCTGAGCTAACTTGGGCATCGAGACGCTAACTAGCAGGCGGTAGCATAGACCTAGCCACAGAACCCAAAGGGAGGGAGTACACGGTTAGGATTTTACTAAATTAAATTAAAATTAATCAGAGCATTTCAGTCCCAGGGACCAAAATATAAATAGCAAAGGAAAAAAGTGACGTGCGCCCATGTTACTTCAGATTTCTTTCTAATTTACCAACAGAAGAGCCCGTGGCTAGTATGATGAGCATGGCTAAGCACGACAGTAGAGTGTAGTCATTTTGAAATGATTTTAATTGTTCTTCATTACATCATTGCATAGAACAAATAAATTATTAGTTTATTATTCTTTACAGTCTTGACCCATCAAGAATATTTTCTAAGAAATGTATCTTTTTTTCTTTTCTAAAGTTTGATACTCTTCAATGACTTTTCTTTGATTCTGTAATTAGATTATGAAAGTGAATAGTGACTTTAGATGAATCCAGCTTAAACCAGCATCTAATTTTCGAAAACTGTTGGGGAAAAAACTCCAACTTTGCTCAACCTGGGCATTAAAAAATTAAGGCACATAAAATCACTAGTCACTCTAGGAAAATTTGGCTGATGTGATTATAGAAATGGGCTAGGAACTACATAAATTACATTCTTTGCTTACAATGATATACAGCTGCCCTGCAACTTTAAAAAGCCATTCCAAAAATACATTCCACAGAATTGCCTGAGTCTGCTGCTGCTCTCTCCTTACAAGGTTTAAACTGTGAAGAATAATCTGCATATCCAGATGTTTTCTGTTTTGCCTAGATCTTTATGTTTCACTGTACAATGTCTGCCAAGAAAGGGATCCATACTTGCTGTGGTTTGCAGTGCTGAAAAGCGTAACCACTAGTTGGTCGGTACAAGAAGACTTGTACTTTCTCTAACCTATCTCATGCTGTTAGTAACTGTTTTACCTGTTAGCCTTTTTAAAGCAAGTAACGCAGAAGGTACTAAGCGATTAAGGAACAAAAAGTTGGAACTGAGCTCCTGAGTTCCTTAGGTACTTTTGAAAAACCTCTCAGAATCCTTGAAGTGTTGCAATAACCTTCTCTCGTCCCCTTATTCTCCATCCTTTGGTGATATAAATCCTAATAATTTGTGTGTTACCAGCCATGCCCCTTACATTTGAAGAGAGCTGAATCCTCTCTGATCGCTATTAAAAGGATACAATTTTAACATTGTATCAAGGTATATTATGGTAGCAGAGACAGCTCTGCATTTTATCAAGACTGATGACTGATGATTTTGTTAATGCAGCAAAGCTTGGAGTTATGGGACAATATGAAAATTCAAACTTTTCTTAAAAAAATGTTTGCAGCTCTTACAGAGTTGAAAAAGTCTAAAGCTGTTATTCAAATGAACACTAAGCTACAAAACAGAATACACTTAGTAAGAACAAATACATATATGTACATTTATATTTTTAAATCTCATCATGTTTACTCCATGCTTTTTGAATAGCTGGCTCACAATTTTGAGTAATTGGAATCAACAGTATTGCTGTGATTTTTTTTTTTCCACCTCTCACAGCACAACTGTTTTAAAAATCAAGTACTGCTATGCCTTACTATTGCTTTCATATGCCAAACTGTTTTACTTCCATTTTTATTCATCGTTGCTTTGTTGTAGTACTGATGTTTTCACTCTCGCTTATGCACACACACAGGCATTCATAAGATAATTCTCTTTTTATCCAGCGAGTACTGAAACAAGATATATGAAAACTTAGAGGAGCAAAGACTAGAACCCAAGAATCAGAGCTGAGCGCCCCAATCAACGAACTGCAGAAATATATCGTCCTTTCTGTGTGCCCTTCTCACCCCCTATGACATGTACTCATGACTGTACCACAGCCCGGGTGGTGCACAGGATACTTTCCCTCCCACACACTAAATCTATGACTCCCACTGTGTGAGTGAGTGCTCTATCCACAAGATTATTGTCCAAAGAGTCAGCGTCTGCTTTTACTGCTCTTTTCTTTGTGAATGCATGATTTGGATGCCAAAGCACAAGAGAGGGTGTCTGGCCATGAAGCCCACTTTAACATATATGAGTATAGCTTAAGACTGAACTGAGATGATTAACTGTGGATGAAAAAGACAGTTTCAGACCTGTTCCAATGTTAACTTTCTCGTGTTTGACCTCAATAACTCCCATTCACCACATTTCCAATATATGCAGAATTAGGTACTCACTTCTCAATTCTGCTATGAGGTACCTGGTTTTCAGGTGTTGCAGTCCTAGCCATCACAAAGCCAAGCTCCTCAGCACTGAGCCCTGTGTGTGTGTCATAGTAATCACCGCATTTGAAACCGTTAGCCACAGTATTTTGAAACACAGTGACCTCAGCTCTGAAGCAGGCATGTTTTCTGTCTACATTATGCTTTTTTGCAACTAAGTATTTTAAAATGACTTGGTAAAAATGAGGCATCAGCATGACCACAGAGAATTATGAAATCAATAAAAGGTTCAGAACAATTCTACAGGGATTTCAGTTGCCCACAGAAATAAAAGCCAGACACTATCTGAAATACAAAGTTCTGACTGAGGTAGCAGCAAATGAGTACAGCCAGTTGATTTTAGCAGTCTTTGAGAAGTGGATTGGACCTTAAGAAGTCGATGGGAATCTCCCTGTCGATTGCAGTTCAGACCGGATTGGATCCTGCTCATTTTAGGAGGTTGCTCCATGGACCGGAAACTACAAAAAGTTGCATCAGAAAATAAGAGTGACTTACAGGAATAATAATGATAAGTAAAATAAAACACCAACAGGAAATAAAGAACGAACATAAAATCGAGTCAATATGTTGGGTGGCACCACACAGGCACACTGAAGAAAGTGTTTCTGTTCAAGAAGATTGTAAGTGTGTTTAGAATGAAACACATATGTAAGTACTTGCTTGAAATATGACCTAAACCTCAACTAACCCAGCAGTATACCACATTCATTTAACATAAAATGCACATATGAAAAATAACGACAGCGTACTCGGAATGAGCTGTCATTTTCCCATATACTATTCACATGATGCCCGCTCTCCCTAAAACACGGTCTAGGACTGGTAAATCTCACAATGCCTGGCTATTGGAAACATAGCAAAAGTATTTGTTTGCAAATCAAATTAGATCTCTCATGAGAATAAGATTTCAAATGAGTTTTCTAAATCATCCTGTTCAATGTTAGAAGTGCCCAAAAGAAATTTATTACGTGGTATTGTCCTACTCTTTCTGAATCTTAACAGAAGATAAGAGAACACAGGTGAGCAAAATAGGGAATTAATTCAACTAAATTCTAAGGAAGTAGCACCTGAATCTTGCAGAATAATGTCATGGAATTTGCTGTAGGACATTTCTAGTGGTCCAGTATCTTGAGCCTGGGAATGGTTTGTGTCTTGGACGTTATGTATTTGTTACTGTTCTTCCTCTTCACTCTCCCCATTAGAGGCTTTTTTCTCCTTTGGGACTGGATTCTTATTTTACCTCTACTGCTGTACATCTGTTAAGTTCATGCAGTTTGTCTAGTTTAAAGATAGATACCTAACTCTGCCCATTCAGTATAACCAGATGACCGAGTGCAATGACTCTCTGTCTGACTTCTTAAGAGTTTCTGAATTCTCCTTTTTTTTTAACTGGCAATCTCAGTAGTCCTGCAGAAGCCTGTGAATCTTCAGCATATTTTAGATATGTCCTGGAAGAATAGAGCAATTTGCCATATTAGAAAATGGCGTGCATGCCTACATCCTGTGCAATTAGTTTATGAATCCTCTTTTGTTATTTTTGTCATGTGTTTATGTTTTCACTTCTGATGTCTTACGAATGTTGCTATCACAGTTCCTTTCTTCCCCTGCTTTCTTCTTCTCAGCTCTGCTGTGATCCTTAAAACAGCTGATGTTGAAGCATTATAAAAGAGGGAGACTTTTGGAATTGACAGAAATGATTACATTGCAGAGTTTAAAGTGCCAGCATTTTTTGGTCCAAAATGATAACTGCAAATTGCTGGAATGTCTCATACAATCAAATGGGCCTTAGAAAATCAGAAGATATAGATGTGTTTTGAGTCCAGTGTTCACTAGTTTTCTGTAAGAATTTTATATATGAAAAATTACATCCTTTTGGTTTCTCTGTCATGATTTTTTTCTATGATTTTTATTTTAGGCAATTTGGGGCCGTTGGGTCACGCCTGACTGGAGCTGGATGGGGTGGCTGCACTGTATCAATGGTGCCTACTGACAAGCTGAATAATTTCCTAAAAAATGTAGAAAAAGCTTATTACCAAACCAATGTCCAAAGGTTAACCGTGGAGAATAATAGTCTGTTTGCCACCAAACCCGGAAGAGGAGCTTTGATTTTTGTAGAGGCCTAAAGAATGTAAAGAATGTACAAATTTTAAAGAAACTGTGTAGGGCATTTAGAACTGGCAGGACTTCCTATGCCACCATAAATTAATCCTTTTCCTGTTTTCTTTATTACAACAGTTGCTATAATCAAAAGTTATTTCTGAAGAAGCAATTAAGAGAACACTCTTAGATTATAAAGTCTATTTTTTCCATCCTAAAAATATCTTTCAGTGTAAACATTGATTTATAGAAACCTATTGACATGGAAAACTGAAGTGCTGAAATAGATGTCCCTTTGTTACAGTGGATCTTTTATCTATTCTTTTTACTTTTGTAAAGGTAAGAGCAGGTGGAAAATGAGTTATTTCATTGTTGGAACCTTGCAAAGTTTGCAGAGCTGTTCAATGCTCATTCACTTCTGCTGCTGGATGTCTTTTGGTTTTAAGTCCTGTAAAAATAAAAGATCAAACTGAAGTATTCAAAAAACTGAAGGACCTGGCTAATCATTACAAGTTTTATAATAGCCTCAAAGAGGATTACTATTGTTGTAATTAATGATAATATTGGTGGAGTACTTGCCGGCCCCAGTTAAGCATTAGCAACATATGTTAAGCAGGAAACCCTATCTGAACTTATTGTCACAACAGGTTCTGATTCTTTTTCAAAATTTGGGACAACTGTGAATTTTTCCCAAGTTGGAAAGAAACTGACAGAAGTACTGGTTTTCTTGGCAGAGTGAGTGGCATCACAGTTACTGTTAAAAAAATGGAGAAGTCATTCCATTTGCAAACCATTTGCTTCACCTGATAGCTGTTCTCAGGAATTTTCCTTCTAGAAGGAGTTTCTTATGCTTGATTTTAGTGCAAAGGTCACTTTTTATGAAAGTTTCAACAAAATCAATGCTGTTTGTTAGCTGGGCATGATAACATATTTGCTTCACTAAATGAATGAACAGATAGTGAAGCAAACTGGTTTTGAGTTGCCCAAATACCATATTCCAATTGTTAAATCTCAGCTTCTGTAAGTTTGATTCTCATGCAAAAACTGTTACAAAGTCTTGAATATAATCCATTGACCATGTAAAATAAATTAAAATTTATATTATTAATTAAGGAAATAATTCATTCGGTTATAGCAAGCAAAAGCAAATATATGTGACCAAGAATAAATGTCATTAACATATTGTTGGCAAACTGCTGTCTCTCTCCCACTTCATGCAGTGCCTAAGGAGGGTCCTGACAACTCAAGGTTATAATTGCAATGCATTGGAAATACATCATCCGTAAATCATAACCCTTCTTCTCAGTAGGAAAAATGATTATGATTGCTCAAAGAGGTGGCTGTAGGTTAAGATATCTCAAAGAGGTCTTAACCCTGCTTCTGAGTGGAAAATTAGCTTCCTGGGCCCTGTCTTTCACAGCCCAAAATATTCTACTGCTTTGCTATATGCAGTGAAAACTCAGCAGAAGTTTTGCTAGTGTCATAACCCTTGCAGCCATAAAGACATAGCAAGATTTGTCCCTGTGCACATTTCTGTGATGCTAAGCACATGTAAATGTCCAGAAGCCTGCATCAAATAAATTAGAGATCTCTCAGAAGAGATCCTCTGTACGTTACCCATGCTAATTCAGGCCAAAAATGAATTCTTAGAGGCTACTAATTCTGTGAGAGGACTCTGCCAAATTTAATACAGCAGATGAACAAAAGCCAACACAGACTGCCAGATCTTTTCAGGAGCCTCAGAGGGGACTTCTAATGGTAATATTATCATCAGAGAGGATTTGTGTTTTCTAACAACCAGAAAGAGTGGAACAGGAATGCTACAGATCAAGAAAATCAACTGACAGTACTCGGGAAAAGTAAGTCAAAGGACAGGCTCTGGGCATGTTGGGGAGGAATGGAAAGACTGGTGTTGGAGGGAGGAGAATTAAAAGGGTGTATTTGAAAAGGGGAATAAGGGCGATAGTTAAGAACAGGAGGTAGAATTACACATTGGTCTAATTTTAAAACAGGCTTTCAAAATTAATACTTAAGAGAATTTAATGTCTTATAACCCCCATTTGTAATGTACAGCAGATGTGCTGTATGTTCAACCAAACGTGTAAATACAGGACTCCAAAAGTCAAATAACAATAGGCAAAGATCTTGAAGAATCTCCCAAGACAATTGTAGAGATTTTAAAGAAAATAATACCATTGCGTTGTTACAATCTGCCTTATTAAATATAAGGACAGTAATAATCCTCATTTTAATTCATTTTCTGTCATAGCAACAGATTACAACACTGTACATACCAATTCTTTTGTTACTATAGCTGTGTTGCACTTCAGTTCAGCTGGATTCCTGGAAGCTGTAATCTGTCTAAGAACAGAATAAAGGTATTTTAGCTCTTTTTTTTTTTCCCCCAAGTTGAGCATGACACACTCTAGTCACAAAATCTTCCCAAAAACATGTAGGCAAGTTTTCGGTCTGCAGCACGTTTCAGAATTTTTCTGCCAGTGAATCTTGTTATATTTTCATAAGTGAAGAAAACAGAAAAGTGGCATATTACAAAAGAGTGAAAACAAACCTTCTAAACTTCTGGTCAATTTCTTTCCTTTCTTTCATTATTGCTTCAATGCCTTTTTCATATTTTTGCTGTAATCTGCAAAATAAAAATTGGGACATAACTTTCGATGGAAGATCTAGGAAATTCAAACTGTATACATAAAAAAGGCACTCAAACATTTTTATTTACATACTACCAACAGAAAATAAATGTTTCTTTTTAAATAAAAAAAAAAAGAATGAAACTTTGTGGCTTTTTTTTTTTTAACCTTTGAAGACATTTTCCTATATAACAGGAAAAAAACCATAATCAGAGCATGAGAATGCTGTCCAAACATTGTGTAAGGTAAGCAGCAAGGACATGAGTAATATTTCTAAAAACAAAGCAAGAAGGTTCTGGTTTGGATGAGAATTTCTACATACAAAGCAGCAACTTTTAAGCTTGTTAAATCTTTCCAGATCTGTATTTTTAAATAGCTTTTTCTGACTACATCTGCAAAATTGCTTCTCTGGACAAAAATCATGCAAATCAGTATCTAAATGCATATACATATATATTTTTGAAAACCTAATGGAATTAATGTCAGACAGTATGTGCAGAGGTGATGCATCCTATTAGCACGAGCTATGATTATCAGTGCAGAATGATTTTATCTCATTATAATGTCTGATTGTAATTCATTCAATCATGAGTTTAATCTTACTGTGCAGTAAATGGGATCTAAACCTTTCCAAAAAGGATTTAGAGTGGAGACACTGTCAGACATCTAAGTGCAGCAACATTGCCTGGTGCCATGTTAATACTACGTATTATCTTAATCCCATTGACATGTACTTCATCACTGTACATGCTCCTGCTCTCAAATAGAATGAGAGTAATTTTACCATTCACTTGAAGGGAGGGGATGAAGACCCTGTATTTGACATTTTTTCTCTCTTGCACTCAAGATACATGTATATGTGTGTATGTGTGTGTATATATATATATATATATATACACACACACATATATATATACACACATATACAAACATACATATATCAACTGAATAAGTAGTAATTACACAACATCTTCAAGAATATTAGTTTCTAGATTAATAGGATCTGAACTCCAACTTGTATTTTAATAACTGCCATGCACTTACTCAGTATAATCCTTCTGAAATTCCTCTCTGAGTCTACGAGTCTCTTTAATAACATCTTGATATGTTGGAGCAACTGGTGTGCTACAGTTTCAGTCAAGTGAAAGCTTTATATTTTCAGCTACCTGTGAAATTCATTTGTGTGCTAAATCCCAATCAGATACTGCTAAACAAAGATAAATCCAGAACAGCATTCACGAGAGCCATCTTTTTCCAAAAAGAGCTAGCATGAAAATCATACTTGTTATGCCTAGAATTAAAGTAGTGCTTTCTGATTTTTGTCACTATATGCTTCCACAAGAAAAGTGGACTGTATAAGAGGATCAGTACGGAGAAGTAAGAATAGCATGAAAAACAGACTGATAAGATCACTAAACCTGTGAATCATGAAGTTTGTTAAAAGTACATTTTTAATGCTAATTTGGAGATGGAGGCTTAGGTAGAAATAAGAGTTCACGTGTAAGAGTGTGCAATATAGAAAAGAGTACAAGGGGGAACTTTCACTGAAAATTGCTTTCTGTGATATAGCTTGACTGACAGCTTTCCTAGCATATACCGGATTGGCAGTGAAAGCACCAGCAGGCAGTATTGCTGTCACATCTGTCTTACTTCAGCTCTTCTAATTTAGCCAGCCTTTCTGCTGAACGGCCTTCTGAGATTCAGCTTCCCATAAAACAAAGACAAAAGACCAATTCTGTTCTTGATCTCATTTCTGCCACTCTGCCCTCTGCTTTTGGACTTGTGTCAAAAATAATTAGCTAAGACATTCTGCAAGATACCACATCACAGCCTCTGATAACAGCACTGTAATTACTGGGAGACCTGTAATTCTCAGTGCTCACTGC